TACCATGACACATAGCATACTGCGCATCTCATGGATTCTTGTGTTCATTGCTCTCATCAGTAAAATAAAGTAGAAAACTAATGTAAACACATTTTTTGCATTTTGCCATTAAGTACAAAAATTTGTAACGTAAGCTACGCCATAAGCAATGCTCTGTCGTACACCGCAGTGCTAGAAGACACCGCGGGAAACTACGGCGTTTACCTGTGGCCCACAGTGTAAAGCAATGACCAAAATGTATCAGAAAAATGGATGGTCACTGAACAGAATTGCTGGTAAAATAACGCGTTTCGCAGCGGGAAAAAAAGATGAGCACAAGTTACTGGAGGCCTGAGCAGCGAAATTCTGACACGTGGTATGGTTGTTACCAAAAAAACGATATCTGGGGTTTAACATCCGAATAGAACGATAATATTATCATGAACGCCATAGTCGAGGGCTCTGGAAATTTAGGGGTTCTTTAACGTGCACCTATATCTAAGTACTATCGGTAGCAATACGAGCTCGAATACGCGACAAATAGACTCAAAATCGAGATGCGTGGATGGTGCTGCCGAAGCCCAGTGAGAAAGGAAGGTGCTTTTTTGCTGACTGCTGGCACTCCCGCCTGATCGTTGCGGTGAAACGGCAACTGACGGAGTAATCAGCCTATAGCAGCGGCCACACGAAATGAGAATGCACCAAAAACGAAACCAGTAAAAGATGCGCATCGAAATGCTCAGCGAACACCACTTACAAGAAATAAAAGCATGACCTGTGCATCATGACAGGATGCGTCATAGCTGATACCTTTGTAGCTGTATAGCCCCAAGGGTCATTGGTGGCGGCTGTGCGCATCAATGGCCGCTCATTTACTTGGCTAGACTCGCACGCTATAAGCTGCGTGTCGCAGCAACGATATCGAGGCGGGAGTGTCAACTGTCAACAGCTAACGAAAGCGTGCCACCCTTTCCGCTTTGTTACGACAGCGGCCGCTTTGGGGTTAGAACTTGGAGGCTATTTGCCACGCGCTCACGTGTTCAATCCCATGACGCTCACGAGAGTACATGGGCCTCAAAAAATTTCGACTACATCGGAAAGGCAGCCACCGCAGCCGGGAATCGATCCCGTGACCTCCGAGTTAACAGTCGAGTGCCATAATCACTAGACCACTGTGGCAGCGTATGGTTGTTCCCGAGCTCGTCGAAAGGGACAGTACAGAGGACATTCCATTTTTCAAAGCAGGGGTGGCTGGCAGAAAGCACTGAAACGAACAGTTTTTTTGCGAGGGAAAGGGGGGATGCGGCTAAGATACGGTTACTCGCAACTTCAGCATAGAGAAATATAATATATCAAGGGTGGCCACTGGGGCCTTTTCGCGGCCTAGCAAGAAAGGGTCTGACCAACCGCTAGATGGCGTACCCATGCTCGCTTTTACTCTTTTGTTAAGATATGTAATAGCCTCCCGAGGAAGACACTAAATACCCAAGTTTGACATAAATTTTTTGCAAAGAAGAAATTTCATTAACGTGTGCGATTTCTTCATGTCCTCTCTACATCATGTTCCGCTTAAGACAATTAACGCCTTAGAACAGAAAACAGTGAAGTACGACTAGAAAGTCTTGTCTTTCTGCATTTGTTTTGCACGAAAGGCACATTCATGTGGTTTAAAAGTATTGTACATTTGTTCCTTTTGTGGACGCATGGGTGTGTAGCCTAGTGGTAAAGACTCTCTTTCGGAGCATGACGGTATGGGTTCAAATCCCAGCGTCTGGACAAATAAAGTTTGTTGTATATATGCTGAAGACAATACCAGGTCTGACCAACCACTCGTGGCGCGGAAAGCAGCGCAGTAGCTGGGCCGCAGGGCCCTACGGGAGTGTCCGCTCTTCATGCAAGTATGTTTCTCTATGACTTCAGCGCAAAAAAAAAAAATGTGTGCGGAGCCACGTCTGTCGGTCAGGGATGCACAAGTGTTCATATGAGATGTGGGCTTTCTGATGGGCGAAGAGAAAAATAAGCTGCTTTCCGCCTGCCATCCTTACTTTGGACAATGGAATGAGCTTGGCACTGTCGCAATCTGCGTGCTCGGTAACAACAGCACCGGGTGTTGTGATGTTGTCGCGCCGGCCACCAAGCTCTTGTGATAATCCTGATTGATTGATTTGTGGGGTTTAAAGTCCCAAAACCACTATAAGATTACGAGAGACACCGTAGTAGAGGGCTCCAGAAATTTCGACCACCTGGGGTTCTTTAACGTGCACCCAAATCTGAGCACACGGGCCTACAACATTTCCGCCTCCATCGGAATAGCAGCCGCCGCCGCCGGGATTTGATCCCGCGACCTGCGGGTCAGCAGCCGAGTACCTTAGCCACTAGACCACCGCGGCGGGGCATTTGTGCTAATCATTTTCTGTTGTTTCTGTACTTCGAACAAACGAAGTAATCATTTTGGTTACAAGGTACACAGCCAATTTCTATGAAAGCGAACACGTGGCCCACGCGCTTCGGTGGCTGCTTGTAGCACGTTCAAGCGGGAGTGCTAGCAACCACGGCCTCTATTCCCGTCATCTAGTGGTGAGCACTACAACCAGTCATTGCTGATAACGGAAGACGCGGCAACATTGCAGCCCCCTTCATTTTCAAGGCAATTACAGGCGATTACGCCCGGCCTCTTACGTAATCGCCACGAAGGAGAGGTGGTTGCTATCTTGCCACTGGTTCCATATCAACAATGACCGGTTGGTTTGCTCACAACCAGATGACGGGAATAGAGGCCGTGGTTGCTGGCACTCCGGCTTTAACGTGCTACAACCAGCCGCCAGAGCGCGTGGGCAACGCGTTCGTGTGTTCCCTTTCATGAGAATTACCACTGTACAGTCTTCGAATGGCTGATTGTACAAGATTTGCTGCTTCGGAAACCACACAACTACCTACAAAATACTGATCAATAAGAAGACCGCAAAACAACTCCCATTCTTCAGTACGTGCAGTCCTATGACACGAAATCAGTTCGAGTGAAGTTGGAAATTTACGGTCAAACTTTTGGCTTTAACATTGTGTGTGTGCGCGCACGCGCATGCGTGCGCGTGTGATAGTGGCAGGTCCAAAAGGTGGATATGAGCAAGATAAACACGATGGCCACTTCTTACGACTGGTCCATGGTTCGAGATACCAGGGAAACAACCTTCGTGTTTCCAGCTATGGTTGGAAAGCGCACTCGAACCAAAGATGCATCGACCACCAGACCAGTCACAATAAAATAGCCGCTTGTATTACTGGCCATCCCCGAAGGTATGAGTAAGAAGTTCCGACAACACAGGGAGACTACAGTCTGGTTCACGCTTGGGTGAAATCTCCGAGCACATGGCATCACGGCCGGCCAGCGCTGCAGTCGCGCGCCGACAACAGCTGTTAAACCGCATCGTGTGCTGGCCACATTGTCGGGCTGCCTGCTGATTTCATTGTTGCTGTGAGAACTCGGCCGATATTCAGTACTAAACGTTGTACGATGCCAACCTATCAATCTTCATTGACGATAATGGGATTCTACAAACAGTATTTGACAGCATACGTTGTTTGGCGTTTCGAAACGCTGTGGTATACTGAGAGCGTTCACGTATATTTCTTCGTTGTGTGCACCACAGTACGTTGTGACAGAGAACACCATAATGAGCACGTATGGTACATGGTGTTTTTTTCACGTTAAACAAAAACCAAACACTACAGTGACTGCCATGAAGCTATGCGCTTTCAACACAATATATTGAACGAGTCCAGGAACGCTGCAGGTCAAGGTAACCTGAACGTGATTCTCAACTGCATTCATTACATGAGGCAGCACTCACTCGCCGACGCCGAAATGCACGCGTGAAGCTTCCAACTTCGCTTTGTACCTCGCCATGTCCTCATGGAGTGGCAGCGATCACGTCGCTCATTTCGGACGGGAGGAAGGCGTACAAAGAAGTGATCAGCGATATCGGCCCAGTTTTCGCAGTAACGATGAAATTCGCCCGCTCTCCATCAACGCGGCCACCACGTACCACTGTAGCAGGCGGCGCAGTTCAACAGTTAAGCACTATGCGCCTGAAATGTCTGCGCACCCGATGCGCGCCTGCCGCATCATGGCGGCATCGCAATGCCACGCGCTGTGGGATTTGTGAAACAGACTGTACAGCGACGGTCAACGGGAGCGCGTGTCAAACAGCACCGCTGCACCTTCTTACGGCTGCCTGTGAAGTTCAAATGCACCCACTGCACACGCGTGCCTTATTTTTAGCTACCAGTCTGCTTGTTTTCTATCTTCAACAGCGCAGGCACCGGTACGCTATATAGATGAAGCGAAAGGTGGAACTTCGGCTGCCACCACTTAAAGCCTAATAAAGGCCGATTTTCGAAACACTGACGCCATAAGCACGTTTTACGCAGAGCGGAGCGTCTGGAACAAAGGCGCAGAATGCGGCGCGCATCGGGCACTAGCCAGTACAACTTACGGTACAAATGAAGCGTTTTCGTCACGATATCATCGCTCGGTGTTTCTGCGGAGACCGCGAAAGTGACACTTTGCGCTTCTTCTGGCGTTCTGTTGCGAGCGCTGTTGAAGAGGGCGAACGAGCAGGCAGGGCACGCGTGCGCTCCCTCGAGCTTCACAGGCAGCTGTCAGAAAACGCCTCAGTGCTGTTCTACACTCGCTCCAACGGTCCACAATATTTTGACCGTCACTATACAGAAACGCTGTTTTATGTGTGTGCACTTCGCTGAAGTTCTCTACAGGCCGAGTCTGACCATCGGCAAGCATGAGTGGGCTCATGCGAAGCGGCGCCCACATTCCTTATAAGCACGTCATCACTCGCACACTGAACCAGTGAATTAAGCTCTAAAAAATTAAAAGAAAAAAAAACAAATGCCTCCCACACCAGATAATGTGAGTGACCATCGTGGTCGCAATAACCACCAGTGATGATGGCGTGTGCTGCAGACTAAGCTGTCGTAAGAATGATGAAATAACAAAAACGACTTACCTCATCGCTGGTTCGCTCGACCGATGCCTCTCCAATGGTATCCCCAGTACGAAATAGAAAAAAACGCTACCAAAGACGCTGCAACGGCCAGATGTTCTGGTACGGATCTGTTCTCGAACCTTCAGGGGACTGATGGTCAAGTTTTCGACCGGAAGCGGACCAAGAATGCCCCCTTGCGGTAGCTGACTCCTTTCCGCAATTTCAACCACCCCTTTCTTTCCTCACAAACTTCTTTTCATCATCGCCAATCGGGAGCAAAAGGGGCGGTAACTGACGAACTCCGGCTTCTCGGAGAAGTTTACACACTGGCATCGTCATGCTTCCTGTCCCGTCTTGATGGCTCGCACGACTTTCGGCATCTTATCAATTTTGCTTAACTGGAAAAAATCATTCGGGATTGATTGGATCGCAACGGTTTTTTATACCGATATTTTGAATGGTACGCAAAATTTTTACGTTTGACATTTCAAAAATCACCGTTGGACCCGGAAGTTCATAGTGACAAAATGTGCCAGAATAACCCGAAAAGGGTGTCCCATTCTCTGTTGCCTCTTACAGGCCAACTTACCTTCTATGTACTTGCGCGAAAACACCAAAAAACATTACTTTCAAGCATATCTCTTTAACTTCACTGAAGAAAATAAATCAATAGATATAGTCGCCAGCATGATTTCTGACGAAACGTTCATACGACAACACAACTACTTAAGAGCATTCACGACTTCGCAGCAGAGTTAGATAAATCGGGTCAAGTAGACATAATTTTTCCCGACTTCGAGAAAGCTTTTCACCTGGTGTCATACTTTAAACGTTTTCTTAAACTCAAGCCTATTCATAAAATTGACTTTACACGTGCATGAATTGCTGCATACTTGTCTTCTATAGGCAACAGTCAATGTCCATGTAAGCCCTTGTGCTCAGATTTGGGTGCACGTTAAAGAACCCCAGGTGGTCGAAATTTCCGGAGCCCTCCACTACGGAGGGCTCCGGATATAAATATAAATATATATATATATATATATATATATATTTATATATATATATATATATATTTATATATATGTGTGTGTGTGTGTGTGAGAGAGAGAGACGCCGTAGTGGAGGGCTCCGGAAATTTCGACCACCTGGGGTTCTTTAACGTGCACCCAAATCTTAGCACACGGGCCTACAACATTTCCGCCTCCATCTGAAATGCAGCCGGGATTCGATCCCGCGACCTGCGGATCAGCAGCCGAGTACCTTAGCCACTAGACCACCACGGCGGGGCTCCGGTAGAATGAATACGTCACCTAGATACACAGGTAGGCTATGCGGCAACTATGATACTTACGGCGAACACTTGCCAAGGCTTCACGGGATGTAAAGCTGGTGGCTTACAAAGCCTATATTTATTTATTTATTTATTTATTTATTTATTTATTTATTTATTTATTTATTTATTTGTGAAATACTGCAGGCCAAAAAGGCCCAAGCAGGAGGGGCACAAACACAAACACAATATCAGTACATGAGTGACACAGCTTCACTAAAATACATATGTGTAAGAGGAGAGCGAGTAGAAGAGAAACATCAAAAAAAATCAAGCGATATTGGGAGGGGGGGGGGTCAAGATTCACAGAATTAAACATTGGGTTCATCAAGATCGAAGGTTTGGAGGAAATCAGAAGGCAAGTTATTCCATTCTGTTACAGTTCTCGGAAAAAAGGAAAACTTAAATAAATCTGTCCGCGCAAAATACGGAGTTAAAGATCGGACATGAGAATGACGAGTTTGCCTGGTCGAAACTGGGGTAACGTAATGTGATGGGTCTAGCCCAAGTTTATTGTTAATTAGTGAGTCCAAGAATTTTAGACGGAGAAGCTGGCGCCGTGATTGTAGCGTCTGGAATTCGTTATCTCGCATTAGTTCCGTAACTGATGTACCACGACCATACTTTGAGTAAATAAAACGCACTGCTCGTCTTTGAATCTTTTCGAGGGAATATATGTTAGACTTAGTGTGCGGATCCCATACAATACAAGCGTATTCAAGCTTTGGACGCATTAAAGTGTTATAAGCTAATAGTTTCACTTGCGACGGGGCGTATCTGAGTTTGTGCCTTAAAAGACACAGTTTACGGAAAGCCGATGACGAAACATCGGCAATGTGTGCATTCTAGGACAACTTATTCGTTATCGTTATACCTAGGTATTTGTATTGACTGACTTCTTTTAAGGGTTGGCTTTTGGAGGAATAGGAAAACTGAAGGGGATTTTTCTTGTTAGTAATTCGAAGGTAAACAGATTTATCGAAATTGAGCACCATGCCCCATTTGTTACACCACGAAAGAATATTGTTAAGGGCAGTGTCGAGAGCAACCTGGTCATCTGGCGATTGTACATCTGTGAAAATAATGCAGTCGTCTGCAAAAAGTCTTATTTTAACCGGATCAGTCATAGCATTAACAATATCATTGCAATAAATTATAAACAGCAGCGGACCTAGAACACTACCCTGCGGTACGCCGGAATCTACTGGGAGATGAGGTGATGCCTGTCCACAGACGTCGACATACTGTTTCCGGCCGTTCAGGTAAGCAGACACCCAGGATACTAGGTAGTTTGGAAGCCCTATAGTCTGCAATTTCTCGATGAGCTTGTTATGGGGAACACGGTCGAATGCTTTACTGAAATCTAAAAACAGTACATCGACCTGACCAGCTTTGTCTAAAATAGAAGCAATGTGATGAATAACTGAGACCAACTGGGTGACTGTGGAAAACCGTTTTCTAAATCCATGCTGAAAGGGAGATAAAATGTGGTTATCATCTAAGAAGCTGTTTATACGAGTGGCAATTATATGTTCTAGCATTTTGCAACATGCAGAAGTCATAGAAATGGGACGGTAGTTTGGTATGCACTCTGGGTCCCCCTTTTTCACAAAGGGCAGAACACGTGCCAATTTCCAATCGATGGGTAAAGTTGCTGAACTTATTGAGGCTCGGAAGATCACAACAATGTACTTGGCCAATATATCGGCATATCGCCGGAGAAATGCATTGGGTATGTTGTCTGGTCCAGGGGTTGATTTAACTTTTAATCGCAGCAGTAAATTTAGGACACCGTCGAAAGAAATGAGGTTAGGATCTGAATCAGAAGCGTCAATGCTAATTGAGACAGGCAGGGTAGAAGTTGAAAAAACACTATAAAAATGATCGTTGAAATTTTTCGCGATAGTTTGGGGATTGTCAATTATAGTGCCGTTGATATAAGGCCAACACTCGAATACGCTGCAACAGTATGGTATCCGCACACAAATACAAACAAAATCAAACTAGAAAACATCTAGACAGAGGCCGCTACAGTTATTTTTTATTCGTAGAGTTGGGAAGCGTCTCCAAGCGCTCTTTTAACTTCCGCAAATATAAAATTCTTATAAACTAGACGCCATCGTAAAAGGCAAAAAATAATTTATACGATGTACCATGACAAGCTTGGAATCAGCAAAAGCCACTATTTGAAACCTATCGCGCAGCGTCACACTCGGTCTTTACACTCAAAAAAGGTTTGTGCAATATAAAAGCTACATGAATTCCTCCTTCTCCCGTAGTATCCGAGATTGGAACCACCTATTGATTGATTTATGTGCGGGGTTTAACGTCCCAAAACCACCATGTGGTTATGATAGACGCCGTAGTGGAGGGCTCCGGAAATTTTGACTCCCTGGGGTTTGCACCCAAATCTGAGCACACGGGCCTACAACATTTCCGCCTCCATCGGAAATGCAGCCGCCGCAGCCGGGATTCGATCGCGTGACCTGCGGGTCAGCAGCCGAGTACCTTAGCCATTAAACCCCCACGACGGGGCAGGCGCTTTCGAAATGGCTGCGCTACAACGATGTTTCGAGTAGACAAACCATCGAACCGCCAGCTTGGCACGTATTAAAGATGTTAATCAAGCTGTTCTCGCTGACAGAAATATCCCCGGCTTACTCGTAAGACATAAAAAACAAGTACTTTGCGAGGCAAGACAATATTTTAAAGTCACTTAGGAGACATTTTGTGCACGTAAGGAGCTTATACTCTTTGTTTTGCTTCTCATCGACTATATCACCCATTCTGCCGATTGTAATTCCCTAAAAGCCCTTCCCTCTTTGTCAAAAGTCAGTAGTTTTTACTACTATTAAATTGTATACCGCTGAATTCGGTTAGTATTCAATGTTTCTGTTCGTGAAGCCCCATACCGGCCCGAAAACGCGGTCAGCTTGAAAAAGGTCTAGCCGTCTAGCGCGCCTTGAGGACGACTGCAGCCGGAAGAAAGCAAACGGAACATGTCGCAATGAAGCCAAAATGAAGTAGCATCCTGTAAAATTGCCGAAAGCTTTAAAATACGCGCCAATGAAAATCCAACCCATGGGGCTGCGATCCATTAAAAAGCTGAAGCACGGGTGTCATGAGCCAAATAAAAAAATAAAGAAAAGGTGGTCACCTGGTGTTACAACCGTGCTGGAAAAAATTAACAGTGGTCAAAATTACTGGGAAGTCTTTCACTACAGCCTGCCTTAGGGTCCTATCAAATGCTGGGCATGTAAAATTTTAGAGTTTATTCTTAGGCAACACAATAATCCCTAACCAAAATTGTCTAAATATTTATTATTGTTAGTTTTAAGAGCCAAGTTGGGTATTTCACAAGAAAAATAAGCCCGCGCTCAACGTATAACACTGAACTCAAAAGTATGAGTGACGCGCAGGTGGTTCAAATAAACAAGCCCTCTCTGTCGAAAATGCGCGGCAAGTTGTTAGCTGCATGGTACAGCTATATATTCATGCCTTCTGTAGCTTACTTTGAATACGCATTCGTGGGGCGTTCGAGAGTAGTGAAAGGGGCGCGCCTCCCTCGGTCTACTATCGGCGTAAAATGAAAATGAAACCCTAACCGTGGCAAGCATTCGCAATTGTACAGAGCATGCCCTCCAGTCAGACAGACGCACGAATCTGGTTTGACAGCAGTGCGCATATATGCGCAGCTGCCCATAGGGATTACTGGACGGCGCACACTATACAATCGCGAATGCATGCCGCTATTCGAGTTTCAAGTGACGTCAATAGCACCCTTGTG